TGCCCTCCGCTGCCGTAGCCTCCGCCCAAACGGTTCCGTACCATGCTGCCAATTCGATCTCGCAACCGCCCAATCTCGTCCAGGTTCCGGACGCGCAGCTTCAGATTTGCCTGGCAGAGTCCATAATGCACTTGCCAGAACTTGGCCTCCTCCACTGCACTGACTGCCGGATCCGTGTCAAGGTCATACATGACGTCCGCTACACCGGGTCCAGAGTAGGACATCAGCAGCATCTTTCCCAACGTCCACCCTTGTATCCAGCCCAGTGCTACCATGGCAAAGGCCACAGAAAACGACAGGGTACGATCCAGCCACACATACATCTGTATACTGAGGAGAGGAAGTAGAAGTAGAAGCGCAGAGCATGACAGCGTAAGAAAATGGGAAGGATTGCTTAACACAGACGGCAGATTGGCAATGGCGCCCAACCTCATGACTTTGCCAATGCGAGCATGATTCTTCAACAGAATTGCAGAGACCAAAGTCGATACAATTCCGCTGAGAGCAGCAAGATCAATGCTGCCGGGCGAAACCCGCTCGTGGGAGTCTGCATGATGCGCGTGGTGTCCCCCTGTGTTCTCCAACGCATGCGTGAGGCCGTGTGATATGAGATCTAAGCCCATAAAGAGTAGACCGACCGACATTCCCAGTCCCGCAATCACTTCCAATCGCTCGAATCCAAACGGATGGCGGATGCTCGATCGCTTCCAGACTTCGAAGTTTGATCCAATATCAACGGCGACACAGAGGAAGGCCCCAAGAGCGTCATAGAAGATGAGGCGAGAAAGAACTGTGAGCGCCAATGATTCGTGTGCCCCCCACTGCACAAGGCCGGCGACTACCAAATGGCAGAAACACCACACTAGTCGTAATTTCTGGTCCTTGGACATGGACGATCGGTACTCTTTGAAGGTTGGGATGGGGAGGGAGGCAGGAAGCTGCAGGGGAGCGCGCGGTGCAGGTTCGAGAAAGATCTGGTGGGACACGCTGCTGTGTTTGTACTTGTGTCCGCGTCTACGTCCGACGTCCTGTGAATGTTAGTATCGAGTGCCACAGGCCTTGGAAGGTGACGGCACATTTTGCTTGACTTGAGGCCGTCCAGGCTGATAGGTCACAGGCTGAAAGTTGAAAGGGTTTTGAACATTCTCAGAGCCACTCAGCGAAGGCGCATCCGTATCGTTCCCGCTGGCACCACTTGCTGGGGTGTAGGGAAACGTTGCGCTTGCGGGCGTAAAGATGCTAGGGGACGCCTTTTGCGAGATGGAGTCGCTCGGGGCCAAGGTCGCATACTGTCTCGAGGGGAACGTTGCAGACATGGGAGAAAGGGCATTTGGGTTGAAGCCCAGATTCGCAGCAGAAAGCTCGCCCTCGAACCCAAGGCCAACAGGGTGCGACGAGTCGTCGTCAGGAGGCGGCGTGGGTGTCCGCGGCGGGACGGGCAATGGCATATTCGAAGCCATGGCAGCGGTGCAAAGGAATGGCGGTAAGGAGCGACGGTTAGGGGAAACGCATTGCAGGTGGGAGCCAGATAGGAAGCCCAGATAGACCCCAGGTCGGAGGTCGAGGGGAGATTGGGGGATGGCTTCTGTATGCGGTTTGGGCGTTCTTCGGGGAAATGATGCAGCCAATCCCTGGCCTTCAAGGCCGCAATAAAGACACGCATTGATGCACGCCACATCGGACTGAGACCCTGCAATGCATCGGCGCCGTTGACAATAGATTCAACACGAAACATGCTGCTTTTGGAGTGACAGGCGATCCGCCTAGTCTTGTATGCGACGCCAGATGCAGGGCGGAAACAGCCCAGATCGTGCAGGGAGCCGCGTGAGAGCATCTTCGAGGGATCGGACAGAGATGGAAAATGCCGATGAAGCGTTTCCAAGGGTGCTCGAGGGAGGGACGGAGGATGGCTCCATCGTAACTGCCCTGCATCACAAACAAGGCAAGAGCAGATCCGCTTCCCTGAGACAGGAAGCAAGGGCGAAGGTTCACGAAGACACTCGGACCCAATCTCGCACCATCACGACCACAACCCCGATAACAACAACAATGAGCCCAGCCCTGTCTGACGATAACGACGCCAGCTCTGAGCATGTTGATCCTCAAGAACCAGTGCTCGACGCACCTTCAGAAGGCAAACGAGGAGCCACCAACAAGCTCATACGGCCCACGTCGTTCACTTCACTAAGATCTTATTTATCGACTACGGACGAGGACGACTCTATATCCAATTACCCTCCGTCCATCACGCACCACACAGCATCTTTCCAGACTCCTGCTCAAACTTCGACCACTTCCCTCTTACGTCGCCGCCCCAGCCGCCTGGAGCAAGTGCCCTCCCAACCAACAAGCATGCCATTCCTAGAGGCCGACACCGATGACGACTGGGATTATGCCGAGACGGAGCGGTGGGGTTGGTTCTTACTCATCGCAACCTGGATTGTCTTCGTTGTTGTAATGGGCTCATGTCTGGGTGTCTGGAGCTGGGCGTGGGATGTCGGCGAGACTCCATATGCTCCACCAGATCTGGAAGATGATGCGACTCTGCCGATTACGGGATACTATCCTGCACTGATTGTCTGCACAGCAGTTATGAGCTGGGTCTGGGTCGTGGTTGCGTGGGTGGGCATGAAATACTTTCGTCACGCTAAAGTGGTGGGCGATGAAGGCTAAGTCACTACAGAGGTATAACGACGACACATATCGACATATCGACAGCGGTTCGCATGAAGTAGGTATCAGACATCTGGCGAATAAGCCCGTGTTTCTATTCCAGTACACTCGCTTAATGGTTCTACGATATTAGCAATATGTTCGTGGGCTTGAAACATTAAGCCTTATTTCCACGACTAAGTCACCTTGCAGCCTCGCCATTGCTTGGGCCATCGTACTTGTACCCACACTAGTGCTTCAACACATGCGCAGCTTGCAGCACCCATCTCAAATCTTGCAACTGCTTATTTACCTTCGTTTGCTCACAGTATTCAAAAGATGGCGCCTCTGGCTTCTGGTGCCACTTTCGTTCTTTCATTCTTTCGGGCCCATATTCGGAGCTCGGTTCGCCCATGTTTCAGAGCTTCACCCTCCATTACGGACTAACGGTAGTGCTTGTCACTACTCGAGCATGGGGCAAATAACTGGGAATCATTACAGCAATTTGCGACATCCAACCGTGCCCTTGCCCTGTTACGATGTTGCTTGTTACTGCAATTTACTTTGGGTAAGTTGACTCGTAATTTCTCCGTCGTTAATCTATAAAGACATCAAGTCCCTAAACTGACCGGCAAATGCAGATTTCGCCATGGGACAGGCTTGCTATGGAGTTGCGAAGGAATCCGCAGAGGCTGTGTAAACCAGAATGTATACCCCACCCGTTAAGAACGACCAAGATCCAAGTACCGAATGCTACCTTGCAACGGGCTCCAAGCGCTGGGAAAGACGAAACGGCAAGAAAGAGAAGACGACTCTCGATTGATTCGAGAATTGACAGCAATTTCAAAAATCGCCAGGTGAAGCCTCTAGCACTCCAAACCTCCGACGACCGACCATTCCCTTTCTTTGAACTTCCCCTTGAAATTCGACATATGGTGTATTCACATCTAGTCGTCAAAAGAAGTCTTCCACACGAATCAGTCCTCGAAGCGATCCCAATCTTGAAGAAGCGGAAGAAGCGAACTACTGCTGAGGTGGCCCGTCATCGACTGAATCAACGACGGATGGCAGGTGGAAAACGGCCGATCACCGCTCGCAAGACAGGGTCTGAGCCAGAAGTGGATCTGAGCTTGTTGCAGGTGTCTCAAAGAGTACACGACGAGACCACCGATCATTTATACAGCAACAACTGGTTCGCCATTACACTCAGCAAACTTCCCACGTTGAGCATAGAGACTCCATATGGCTGGAACCTCCAACGTGTCAAGAAACTACAGCTCGAATTGCAATTGAAAGACGCTCCGCGCATGAACAGTTACATTGACTGGAGCACGTTCTTCTCGACTTTCTCATCTCTGCGCTTCCTGCGGGTTGTATTCACTTTTCATCCGCGCTACATTGATTGGGCAAGTCCCGAGCTCTCTGACTGGGCGACAACAAATTACGTTTACAAAGCGTTCTTCCGAGAATTGCTCGTTGCTGTGCCTTCTCATGCCGAACTCAAGTTAGGACCACCACTCACGAAAATGAAAGATTTGAAAGCGCAAAGCAGGACAGCGGTGAGCCAAAAGCTGTTACTGGATATGTATACCGAACTTGGTACTGTTGAGAATGCTGTGGTGAACCGACGCACAGCAATGAGGGTTGTGGAATGGAAGGAGGAGGATCATTGCGAGCCATAGGGCAAAGGGTGGGAGAATTGGCAATTAACTGTGGAGTCGAGGCCGTCTTTTGTAATTTCTGTATTATAAAGTAGCACGGTTTGAGTGCATATATACAAGTATCGAATAGTACATATCTGCAACGTAGACCAAAGTAGCAGTTCGTCCTGATGATCCATTCTTGTAAGTGGTGAAGCATAGGGAATTAGGACTTGTTGCCTGCCAGGCTTCAGTGACTTTCAGCAATACCACATCTTGTGAACATGAAGCCGAGCATAGTTGATTCTAGGGCGATGGATTTGATTCATTTACAACTAGAACACTACAGAATTGTAAACATGCAAAAGAACCAGGCATATCCCACTCCAGGGGAGAGGACCAACAAAAGAGCAAAAAGATAGTTCGAAAGATCCTAGAGGGTACTGGACGCCAGAGTCATGGCCAAGGGCCGCCCGGGACGAATGCCCTCCCTTTCCTCTCCTCTTCCATGAAAGTCCCGAATCTCAACCAATTAGCTATTACATACCTACCTCCAATCGTCTTATCAATTATCGACATTCCTGCTACTTTAAAAAAAGTAGCTCCAAGTTTTCCCCGCGCCTAACCCTCGAAATCCCCTAAATTCCCTACCAGGACCAAAAAAAGGCAAAAAAAATAGTTCGAAAGATCTTAGCAAGCTAAGCACATTGTCCCCTTTGTGGATCGAACACAATACTGATTATGTCAGCGCCAGTCTATGCTAATTAATCAGATGAAACTCACCCTCCAGATTTAATGACCGAAGACTTCAGTCTGGCGCTCTCCCAATTGAGCTAAGAGGACGGGTTTTCATTGGTCAGTTTCTCACGCAATACATAATTATAGCCCTTCAAAACACGATTCAACTAGAAAATACTACGCATATGGCTGTGGCCAATCTGCTACCTGTTTCTAGCAACATTTTCGCGCCAAAGAGCGATGTGTGGGCAAGTGTGATAGTATGCTGCATTGGGACTAGCTGGGCGCTAGGTTCCGAGAGTTGTGTGCGGACTTCCGACCTTGAGCTCCACCCAGCAAGCTCCAAGCTTCCAAGAACCATCACCCTCACGACGGCAAACGTAACAGCACAGGTGCGGAAGGCATTCCGAACAATTCTCACACAATCGCAATGCAGTTTTCTCCTCTGACAAACCCATTGGCTACCGTGGCCCAACTCGAAACGTCGGGCTCGCAGCTCGATGGCATTCCGCGCGATCTGGAGGACTCGATTCGCTTTGCCGGCGCGAGACTGACGCAGGCTGCTGGCGTCCTGCTCAGACTGCCGCAGGAAGTTGTCGCGCAGGCAATTGTCATATTCATGCGCTTCTTCACTGGGCCTGAAGGAGGAAGTCTCGCCGAGTTTGGCGCTGAAGTACGTTCCAGTCTTTGCTTCAAACATCTGCATTATTTGAAGACTAATTGCGCTCCAGCTCGTATCCCAAGCCAGCATCTACCTCGCCGCCAAACTCTCCGCATACCCCAAATCCGCACGCAGCATCATAAACGTCTACGCGTACCTGTCCTCCCTGGCCCCCGGCTCCCTGGCCCCAGACCCAGCGCAAAAGCCCCCAGCATCCACATACTTTGTCTCAGAAGGCACATTCGAGCGGCGGCGTGCCGCGCTCTTCACAACCGAGCAGCGCATCCTCAACACGCTCGGCTTCAACACGCACGTCAATCTGCCCTACATCCTGTGCCTCACATACCTGCAAACCCTCGACGCCTTCGCGCATCCCCGCGCCCCGGACCTCGCCAAGCGCGCACTTGCGCACCTCAACACTGCGCTGCTGAGCCCCCAGCTCTTGTACCTGACGCACCAGCCCACGGCGCTTGCGACGGCAGCCATATATCTTGCGGCGCGGGAGACGGCGATCAAAATGCCCGAGGTGGAGTGGTGGGAGGTATTTGATACGGATAGAGAGGAGTTGGGGTTCTTGTGCGTGGGCATGTTGAGTGTGGAGGGGTTTGCGGCAAGGGAGGCTGAGGTTTGGGAGGGCAGGAGGGTGCCGATGAGTGTGGAGGAGGTGAGGGTGGAGGTTAAGAGGAGGGCGGAGGGAGAGGGGAAGTGAGGGGGGATAATGACTATGTTTCTGGGAAAACATGGAGATTGAAGGATGGAAGGAGAGTGTATGATTATAGAGCTAATTAGCATAGATATGTACGAAGGAGCATGACTGAGAATATCAGTCATAAAGTTCGTCAAAAACAGACGTGAAACAACCTGCAATACTGCCCACTTTTACGCACCAAGCAATCAAACATCCGCCCACAGCCATTCACAAATCTGCACCCACAAAATTGTCTCTCGGAAAACATCTACAGCCCCGTACACATCTCCATCCATTTACGCTATAGTAACCCAACATTCAGCTCTCTGAATACCTTGAATTAGGTTCTAGAGCAGCTCTATCCCCTATTATCATACCAAACCTCTTCTCCCTTCCTCCAGAGCGAATTGAACCACTCCGTACCCTCCTATAAGTCCCTCCACGCTCCTGCTTACCGTAGCCAGTAAAACAAGTCTCGAAAAGTGGAGAACCGCACATACCTGTCCGAAAAGCGTAAGGGAAGGACGCACGTAGGTCGAGGGCGTTCCACTCGGTCGGTCAGTGCAGTATGTATCGGGGGAGTCGAATGAGGAATGGAAGTGTGTCGAGGATGGTTAGGCATCTTGAAGTCCTGAAAGTGGAAGTGCGTGAAGGGCTAGGATGAGGTCGTTGGATAGATGTGTTTTCTGTTTTTGTGCTGGGGGTTTCTGGGCTAGGGTGCTTTGACGCTGGTGCTGGGGTCCTGGGTCCTGGGATAAGGGGTACGAGTCTCCTCTGCACTGTTACACTGTAAGTTGTGGGAGAACGTCTAGAGCACCGGAGATATGCATAAAGGTCTGCTCTTCTCTACGGTGGTCACATTAAGGATATATCTTGCTGCGCAAATATGTTAGTATAGAGGTAGAGAAAGTATTAATTAATACAAATCCGTAACTTAAGCCTATAGACTTGACTTCTCCTATCAAGGCTCTCTCGGAAAGCGAAGTGGTGGATGTGACGGTTCACCAGCGTGAAGAATTTCTCTCTGATAGTATGGAACTCTAAGATGTACGCAATGATCCACCATTCTAATGCCTGCCTGAGTTTATATAACGTACCGATCTTGACCTTTTGCGATAGGCGGCCTTCGGAAAGTAGGGCCATCGTCTCAATGAAGCTTCAAGTTCTCTCAATGATCGTGTCAAGCTCGTACATGTCGGTTTCCTCAGTAATTCCCAATGCCATTAAGGATATACACGTAGATAGCTTTGGTCACGTAATTTTAGAATGTGCATTTTGTGTGTGTTTATACAGGGCGAGCGTTGGTGTCCTTGCTAAATTCAGAGAGCAAGCAGAACTACCAAGATAAGCGCCGCCTAGTACGTCTTGCAGAGCAAAACTGGCTCGCAGTGAGGTAATGCTCGATGAGGACTTGCTGCAAGCATACATAAATAGTTCTGTATAAAAAAAACTTTCTTTGATTTGATAATGCAATGTACCCCTAAAGCAACTTCTACAGTAGACTCCGAAGCCCATAAAAAGACAAAACGAGAGCATCCATGACAAAAGAAAAGATTCCAGTCTGATAATCAATCGCCTCGTTCTTGCAAAATTGTGCTAAGCGCTCCTCCTTCCCCTCCTCATCCTCCTCGCCTCATCTCTCTTATCCCAATTCTGATTCGCAGGCACATTGTCGTTCTCAAACCCCTCATCCCCAAGCACCACTTCAAACACCAGTAAATGGCTTCCCAACGCCTCGGCCGAATGGTCATAGATTTCGCGACGGCTTTTATCTGCGTTTCGGTGGTCGACGCCTGCCACTATATCGTAGCGTGGCAAGGCTTCAGATTGAACGTGATCCCATGGGTCCTGCCATCCTGTCCGCTCGTCGTCGTCGTCATCCCTGTCATCCACGTCGCGCTTGCCTGCCCGCCCCCCGAGGCCTTCAACCACATTTGCAGTTCTCATCATTTCAGCGAAATCGCGGTAATTCGGGGCAGCTAATGAAAGCAGTCTTGGTGGGGCGTCAGAGCTGTCTAGATCGTTTGGGACGGGGTTCAGAAGCAGTGTTGTTGGGTCGGTGAACTCGGGCTTGTCCGCTTCGCCCATGATGTTTTCCCACACCCCGCGAGGCGAGATTATACGGGCGGGCCCGTGGTTGATGACCCAGGCTGCGGGTTGCATTGCTTTGGCGACTTGAGAGCTCGGTCCATCTGAATCAGGTGTTTCTAGTGGCGATATATCTATCTCCATTGTTGGAGCGTCTGTTTCTACTTCGATATCAGATCGTGGTAGTAAAGCTCCTGAGCCTGGTGTAGAGTCGTCGCTGTCGTCATGGGCCAAGGTCAAGACGGGCACTGATGCTACTTGCCCAGGGTCTGAGATGGGGTTGAAAGATGACCCTCCACCGAAGGAATCGTCCCAGCTTCGGCGGCCGACGCGCATCATGGGAGTGAGGGCTACGTGTCGTATGCGATTAGCGTACTCTCGCCATGTGTCGAGGAAAGAACGACTTTTAAGCCTGAGTCCGTGTACCCAGTGTGCCTGGAGAAGACCATCTGCCGTGGAACCGTGCAGCTGCGAAATAGCTGGGGAGTTGGGCTTATCGTCCGATTTTTTATTTTCACGTCTGGGGACCAATCCATCTACTCCGGGGCTCTCTCTGGGCTCTTCGATGCCTTGGACGTCGCGCCAGACCATATTAGCAGGACTTTTAGCTTTAGGCCAGTCACCACCATTTCCTGGAATTTGCTGGCTACTTCCGGGCGTGGCTCCTGGGGTTGGTTGGATGCTTTCCCTGGGAAGCTTTACTACAGCCCGCTTGGAAGGCTCATGGGATGTTGGTTCGCGGCTGGTCAGAGATGCTCGTTCTTGAATTTCATCACGATATACCTTTGCGCCAAACCGGTGCGCCCAAGGTAGATCCGGTCCGATTTCATCAGTGGTCGATATGTCACCTATTGGTAACTCTGGGGGAGGAATCCCATTAGGATACAAAGGGAGATCCCGCCGGAATACAGGTTCATCATCGGTGTACACGACACTGGCGATTCCATGACTTAAGGCATCTTCTGGCTTGGCTTTCCATGGCCGTTTGGTTCGGACCTTTGGCACTGTTTCCTCGACTACTTCGTTGAGAGTCTCGTCCCAGCTTCGCCGATGCACAATAGGAGCCAAACTAAGAACCTGTGGCCACCCTTGGTTGTTAATATCCCCCCAATCAATTACAATTGGCGCCATAATTGGCGTGCCCACTTGTTTACCTTGTTTACCAGTAGTTCTCTGCTCAAACGAACTGCGTTTGTCAGCATGCAGGGAATCTGTTGTAGATGAGTGTAGCCACACCTGGCTGTGAGGAGTCTCATCAGTGTTCGGAGGGTAGTCGTCGCCCTGTTGGCGACGTTGCCTAATACTGCCGGCGTCTCCGAAGTAATATGGATCAGAATTGGTTGTTGGCTTGCTCTTTGAATCTTTCTTGTAGAGTGTCTGTGCCGGCGGAAGCACTACCGCAGGCGCAACGCCGGAGTGCCAGGTTGGGAATTGGTAGGGGACTTTAGGGTCTCCGGATGGGCCATTCTTAGGGGTTGCTTTTGGATCTAGATCCTTGTCATCGCGTCCATGGAGTTGAAGTGCTTCTGATTGGACACTGTGGTCGTCATGCTCGTCCTTGGGCGGGTTGAGGGATCCGAAGAAAGAACGCTTGGAGTATTGGGACTCATCGGCTACTCGTCGCCATATCATATTCCTCGTAGGGAGCGCCCACGCAGGTATGTTTTG